TGTAGAGGAGGCTGGGTGGGCCCCAGAGCCGGTCTGGACGCAGAGGCTGGAGAAAAATCCTCTGCCCCCGCCGGGGATCGAACCCTGTAGCTAGTCACTATACTGACTGAGTTATCCCGGCTCATGGGGGTGGGAGGTACTGGCTCAAAGTCGTGTCCAATGGCTCAGAATCGATATTAACCCTGTTGAACCTTAGGGTCACACTACCACAGTTCTAAATAGCCGTCATGTTATAAAAAGCGCATTTATTTCGCAGACTCTGTAAAACTGTTCTCTGCTTTAACATCATCATCAGACTCATAACAAATGATTGTGAGTTGAAATACAGAATGCAAATAGCTTCATTTGTGCCGTTTTTCCACTATCACATACAATTTGCGGTCGAATAACCTTGAACTTCAGGTCTACAGTGAGGTAGTGCATTACGTAAGAAGCCGACATTCATGTTGCCTGAATATCGTGTACTATTGAAGGTTAAAGTATAGACTTTAAAGACGTATTTTCTACTGGGAAACTTTACCGTCTTCCCTCTAACTTTCGCCTGGAAGTTTATTCCGCCAACATTTAAGTTGCTTCAGTAAGCACGGTCTCTGGATAGGATAAATTCTTGTTTTCATAAATTAAGGGAATATTTGAGAGGATCAATGTCAGTGAAATCAGACAAATTTAGATGTAAAATTAGATGTGATAATAATGAATACTGAAAGCATAAGAATTCAGATAAAAGAATAATGACGGGAAATACTGGGAGTGTCTCAACAAAACGCATCTGCTTACAACTTAAGAATAATACATTGCTGCCATTTTTAGAGTGCGCTAGAAATTCATTTGTACAACACAACAATAATTAATTACCTCCATACTGAAAATTCCCGAGGTTAAATGGTAACAATTATTTCGGAATTATGAGTGTCATCGCCGAAAAGCACGTCATCACCAGAAGTGAAGTCATCACGTGACCAAACCAATATCACTTCCAAAAGATGGCGAGGAGACAGAAGGCAAAACTAATCTACTTTTCTCGTATACAAACAAAGAAATTTGTCACTTGTTATCGGTGACTGTTACACTAGTACGGTCTTGCTGTAAAGTGGACAAGCAGCTAGCAACTTTTGGATCTCATCTTTTTAACCTTGTCGTAATTGTTCTGGAGTGACATCAGCATTGGTCTCTAAGGCGAATGTTCAAAGCTCTCGACTGTAGTTTTACGTAACTGGCAGCCATATTTTATTTTTGTTTTCTAAGAAACGGATGAAATTAACTTGTAACAACGAAGTCGGACCCACCCGCAGAAGAAAATCCTGAAATAACTTCTACGAACTCATTGGCCTTGATGATATTTCATCATATGATATCACCAAGCTAGTATACACGACAAAACAACAAACATCTGACAAAAACACTGAAAAGTTTCCTCATGCAGTCACAGGTATAAATTAAAGAAAGCGAATCTTAAGTACCTCACTGGCTGATCACGACCTGAGTATGATGAGACTCTGCTCTGCGCTGCTGTGTGTGACATTGGCCTGGGGGTTGTACCGTGAAGGTACCACGCAGAGTCATGAAGGCAAACCCCTTGTGGAGACTTCCCTAAGACTTGAAGCACCCGATTCTGACACAGGAGACTGGACGGCGGAATTTGGAGGCATGAAGGTACGACAAAATATAACATAACCAAAATTAATATTATTAAAAATGTGGTATTCAAATGGGATTTAAAGAAACAGCAAATGAGGACGTAATTAATATTATTAAAAATGTGGTATTCAGATGGGATTTAAAGAAACAGCAAATGAAGACTTTGGGAGAACTCATCTAGTCCAGGATAGAATCCATTGGCGGGCACCATTTAACACTGCAAAGAAACTATCAGCTTCTCAATGAGGAATCTGCTACGTGAAGTAAGTTATAATGAACAGAATCTGGTAGTGTAAAATCAAGGCAGCGAGGAGGCATAGATTTTTTTAAGATATTCGCATTAACCAACAGCGGGGGAGTGTCTTTCCTTGTACGTCATTAAGTATTTTCCATGTTCACAAATATTTCAAATTACGGCTATAGACGTTTATTACAATAAGATTTTTCGTATGTACTGATCTTATGGGTCACGGGTTTGTCATAAAATTAACTCAGTGACTGCGAAAAAATAGAAAGTAGAAGCTTATTTGTAAAACACTAACGGACTAAAGAAAGTTTTATTTCAATATTAATAGGTACAAATCGAACACAGACATGCGGACAGAATTATTAAGGAAGATGGTTCTTGGACACTGGATATAGCTCGCGCCACGTACGATAAGGAAGAGGATACTGACAGACCCAAAGACGAAACCGATAAAATCAGTACCACAACCGAAATACCGAAATTCACTGGAATCCCCTTAGAAGAGTATTCCGGTCTCAGTGAAGCAGATAAAATTGCGGACACAGAAAATGAGATCCCTGTGGACGAACGCTGGAGCAAAAGAGACCACACAGAAGGCGTCCGTCCTCAGGATCCGGGCATCCACCCACTTGAGATGTTCGAAATTGTGCCACGTGTCGAGCAGGGCACGAGCTTCGCGGAAGAAAGCTACGATTCTGATGAAGTGACCCTCGACCCTGACAACTTTGAATACTTCAAAGGGGTAAGTCGAAAACATCACGCACTTTTTATCTGTACCATTCAGAGCCTTCTGACACCTGAGGCTCTCTTGGCGAAGAATATGAAAATGTATGTCTTCTGGGTTGTTGTATTGTGCAGTGTGGATGATGCAACATGATGATGGAGGCAAGCCAAGACGTTTGCCCTGATGATAGAGGCTGTATACACCTCTGAAACGCCTGTCGATGTCTACCAGACTACACGAAACAACAACCCAGACGACAGCCATCATCATACCTTCCGCCATGAAAATCTGAAATCTCACGCAATAAATTTAAGAAAGTATATTAAAAGTTTTATGATGTTAGTCGAAAGCATGGCATAAGGATTTTTGTGAAAATTTGTCTATCTGAACGCAATTAGCTATACTGGCTACGTTCTTCATATCCCACTATTGCAAGCACAGCCCCCACCACTACACTCGTCCGTCGAAGACGCTGACCAGTGAGTATAAGCCCCACCTCCTGAAACATGTTTTAGGCCTACAAACCACCCACTTCAAACCTCGTTACTACAAAGTGGTTAGCTTCACGCTCCGACTTGCTTGCACTCACATACTGGGTACAGGGGTAGATGAACCTCACACTTGGTCGTGCGAAGTGTCAAAAAGAGAATGACCCCTTCCCCTGACGGGAATCAAACCCGGGCCAACCGCCCCGTAACCAGCCAATGATCTCATTTAGATTTAAAAAAAAATACGATAACTGAAACATCTAATCTTGCAGGTGGGCTGGTTCAAGCTGGACAACAGGAACTTGCAATGGCCAGATGCTCGTGATGCATGCGCAGAAGTCGGGGCGCACCTCGCTGTACCCGACACACCACAGCGGGTCACAGTTTTCCTCAAGCTCTTCAAGAGGCATCCAGACATCCCGGCTCGTGCCATTCTTAGGCAACAGGTTTACGTCGGCGTCAGCGACCCGGACCGTAGCAGACATTTCACAACTGTGCAAGGTACACGCGCCATTCAGCCCTTAACAGTATTCTTACCTAAGATCCAAGAATATGAAAACGCTTCTTAATCGGCAGCTTTCAACACCAAATCTCGGCCCGCAAATCGGCTAACCTAACATTGTATTTTGCGTCCCCCACCCCAGTCCCCGCCGGTAACGACGGGACAATGAAAAAAATTATTCACGATCGCTTTCTCGTACATCCGTCAAAATTCATTTTTCACTAATCATGCAATCACCCATTTATAAGTAACTGAAAGCGTCCTTAAATAAACCAAGAATTAATAAATACGTAAGCAAATAAGTGAATACGTATGCAATTTGGAAGCACGTGTTTCCCGAATGTGTTCTCTGATATTTTGCGTAGTCAACAGGACTGATTTCCACTTGTTGAAGATTTCTATTTCAGTATGTATGCATACAATTACACTCAAGAATGTAATATGAATCTGAAAAGCCGATTGTGTACGGTTTTCAGGCAAACCATTCGCTCCTGAATTTCCGATATGGTTCCGCACTGAACCCGACAACGCGCCTCCAGGAGAATACTGCGTCACATTCCACATCGAGGGCAGAACACGAGACGTACCCTGCTTCTACGAGCTGCCGTTTTTCTGCGAGAAAGACATTCCTGTCGTCATATAGTATGTGAGGTTTCACACCTCACATACGAAAACAAGGGTCTGAAAGCTTGTTACATTCCTACGTCTACATTTCGCATCAAAGAGTCTTTGACAAATCTCTCCTGGGTTCTATTACGTCATGAACTTCCTCTACATCGACACGTTGCTCGAAAAATAACTTCCTGTTTTATAGCAGAGGTCCCAGGAATCTCAGGATTTAAAAGTCTAAACTAGAATAATTCCATTTTATAATAACAGAATCGTGATTTGGGAGAAACACCGTTATTACAATGTCTTCCTAAACAGCCAATTTTCTGTAATGAAGCAGATAAAGTTTAAGTGTCTAACATGACTTCGCTATTAAGAAGATTGAAACCAACATATTTTTACTTTTCTTTCTTTTTATATATAGGTAACTGAGCATCTAATATCTTCGGCGTCGGTTAAGAACTGTGTATGTAAAATCATTAAGATGGTATCTTGACAGTGTTTCCAGTGTACATAATCCGTGTTTATCGATTCATGTAATTCAGATTCAAATAAATGCCGACATTCTGAGGTTTCTGTCTTTGCTTTTATTTTACAAGGCCTCCATCGAGTTAACTGGCAAAGTTAAACGTCACAGTAATGCTAACATACAGTCACACTAACTTCAAGACGTAAAAATCCATATAATTATAAATATTATCAATTTTACGCCAAAGATTGAACACCCCCAAAAATTTTATTTGGGAGGGGGGGGGGACGGCAGGGAAAAGACCAAACAATCAGTCACTCGAAAGTCCTGGCCTAATTACTTGCTCTGACAACACGATGAATGGGAAAACAACGCACCAGCTACATTGACGCTTGGCGCCATGGCAAAACATCAACTTCCTTCATACTGAATACCTTTTGTTACTTTAAGCTGCTAGACACTGTTGCTGGTTTTCGTCTGCGTTAAAAAGGAGAGAGCGGGTAGAATATTAATTTCCACCCCCCGTTCTTAAAATATGTTACAAGTTCGGGTGAAATTCTTTCGCCTTCCGGAGGACGTCGCTGATGGTTCCCCCAGGAAAATAATCGCAGATGCTTTGTGTAACGCCGTGGAGCAGTGCCCAGTTAGTTTTACCTTGGCTGATATGAGAAGGGAAATTCTAGTAGTGTATAATTACAATACATCCACAGTCTCTGTGTCTGTCGTGGTTGAGCCAAAGAAAGTTTCTTTTGTCAGAATCAAAAACAATGAGTAACCAAATCTTCTAGTTCCTGGGCAATAAATCTCTCCAGCTTGATGTGTACTGTCTTCCTCCATATTTAAATGACGTCACGACTGTTAAAGCAAAGCAGAACAACTAGTAAGTACGAGGAACTGAACAAAATTCATACATTCCACTTGTAACTAACTCAAAGTAGCTGAGGTCTTGATAAGTAATAGCTTCTCGTCCAGTCAATAATTCCCATAATTTTATAGGACGTGAAGGTTCACTGCCGTGTTCACAAGATCAAACTGAATTTAAAACATAAACTAGCTACGTTTACCGTTAAGTATCGGAATTACGTTCATATGACATTTTAGACACGCAATGACCTCAAAAATTATACCCTAAAATTTGGACGCAAATTCACAAGATATTATGTAAATTCAAGATTTCAAGATTTATCCCAAATTATAATACCCATCATTTAATAACGTATTACAAAACTGATCCCCACCGTGTGTCACTTGACTGCAGTTCAAACCTGACTCCTGCATCAATGTTTGTAAAATTATCTTCTCATCTACAAGTACATCGTCTGACTAGGCACTCAGAAACGCACACGGCACAGCTGTACGTAGGACGTCTGCAATATTTAATTGCCCTGTAATAAAAATGACAAGGCTCTATCACACGTAAGTAGAAGAAAACAGTTGGTCATATTTTTAATTATCGAGAGATAATCTACACAATCCGTATCATCCACGGATCCCAAGAAGAAATTACTTTATAAAGGTCCAGTAACATCGTCTACGTTTCAAGATCAGGATGTTCCTGCTTCCATCTTTACTAGTGTTCTGTGTGCTGTTCCAGTGCGTAGTGTGCAACGACGCACAATGTGCTTTGCCTCGACCAAATTCTTTCACATTCTCCATTAACAGTGTCCGCAACCTCACAGGACATTGGACAGCTCAGGTCAGTAAGCAATTTTCATGTTTAAAAGTGTTGCTTTCTCTGGTCGTAAATTTATAGCGTTATTACTGTAGGTACAGCTGGAACACGGAGCCAGCCGGAAAGATGTAGGTCCTTGGGTGGCGGACATCGAACACACCACAACCACGTGTGAAGACAGCGAGTCCATCCACATAGTGGCCACAGTGACAGGTACTGGAGTGTCTGTTTCATGATGCTGTATCAGTAATACAAGCAGATCGTTCACGGTGTGGATCTTTCGGTTTCAGCCCCTCCACAGCGACCGGGTGGGGACTATGAACTTATACCGAAACTGGGTTACTACAAGTTTCATACTTCTGGCAAGAACTGGCGAGAAGCGCGTCAAATCTGCGAGCAGGAGGGAGCTCACCTGCTCATCTTGAACTCCGAGGAAGAGGCTGGGGTTATAAGAAGTTTCTGGAGGCGGCATCCTAAGCTGTTCGACGGATGGAGAAACTCGTGCGCCTACATCGGAATACATGACGAGTTCGTCGAAGGAGAATATATTACATTGTTTGGCAAGTATTTTTCTACCGCCCCCCCCCACCATATTTAAAACTTACAAGGCCAGTAACTTAATTATATTACTAAAACGGGATTAATGTTAATAATGTTTTACTTCTCTGTAATTTTCTTTCTGTTCTCGGAAAAGTTTTGCCACATTGGAAATTTTAACGTTAAAATTTAGAATTATTAATTTAATTCTTTCTTGCTTTTCCTGCTTTACATATCCCACTTCTATATGCTACGTTCTGAAGGGTTAAACTACCATTACCGATGGATAAGCAAAGGTACGAAAACATACATCTTCCCTCCTTCTCATCCTTAACCCCCGCACTACACTGAGGTGCAATCACGATCGCCCCCCCCCCACATACCATTTGGTAAGGAGGCAAATTGATACCCAGAAACAAAGAGAAAACATCTGTCCCTTCTGGGAATCGAAACCCGATTATCAAGCCTGAAGACTAAGCAGGCAAGATTCTACATAGTTTTCTTCAAAACAATAAATTCCCATCGACCTTTATCAAACAACAATGTTTGATAACAATATCCACTGGTTTTCCAGGGGAGTCCCTCAATGCCACTGGATACGCGAGATGGGCAAAGAACGAGCCCGGTGAAGGCACTTCTGGTAATTCTGGGTGCGTTGGAAGAGACGGGGCCCTGTACGACACAAACGGCTTCAACCACCTGGCCTTCTTCTGTGAACAGGAGCTTTAGCGTCGTCATGAAGCTGGAGACAGCAGACTTTCTGAAGCATGAAGCCTACTGGCTTCCCTCTGATTCAGTTAAATTGCGTCTCACATTAATTTCGAACACCTCTGTGATGATAAGAGGAATAACTATAGAAGTCAGTGATGTCAGAAAATTCCCAAGTGTAATCAATATGTAACACGTGATGTATGTTGAGATTTAGGCAGTCTATGCATGCTTGATGACTTAATTTCGACACTGGTATTTGTTTAATAATTAAAACTATTGTTATGTAGTTAATTAGTCTTGAAATAAACAAGGAATGTAAACAACTAACTACATAATGCAGGGTCCTTCACGAAAAGGTAATTCTTTTCAACTAATCACGAAATTCTTCGCCTCTTAATAAACCAGTGGTTGCTTATCGCGTTTAGAAGGGCCTCCGCTGTACCACACCCTCACGTCAAATTTCCCTTTCATGTAATTTAATATTGATCTGCCATCTACGAATATGCATCCCTTCACGTTTTTCACCTGAAACTTTGTAGGTATTTCTTATCTCGCTCACTATATTTCTCCTTTATTTGAATACCATAAGCACACAACTCGTAGCTCTGTGAAATACTGGCACAACCAAATACGAGCAAATCCAAGGAGTTGATATAATCTAAATTTTCACTTACTCGTGTCCATTTTTCTCTCCACGTATGGATCCGTCGTGGTGAAGCAGACCCATGCCATCAAGAGAATGGGGCCTCCTAAAAAGGTTAACGGCAATAAGTATCTTCATGGAACAAAATGTTTTGGAGGAACTGACAGTCGCCAATCGCTGAGTCAAAAACATTCTCCGCCTTTTATGGAACTCGACGGTTCATTATCGTGTTCACAAGAGGCCGCTAATGGACCTTATCCTGGCCAGATGAATCCAATCAGACCCAGCACACACTTTGTAAGATCCATTTGGATAATATTACCCTTTCGCCTGCTCCCAGTGATGCTAATCGTCTGTTCCTCTAAAACGATTTGCAAGGTAAATAAGTTAGTTGTTTTATTATACCTCACGATTCCAATTATTCTCCACGTCCACAGCTTCTCTATGTGCGTGTATCTCTTCCTTCTTCTTCCTTAATTTTCTTTCCGTCTCCTCCCTTCCTTTATCTCTCTTTTTCTTTCTGCTGCAACTTCCGTGTAACGCATTCCACCTTCTAAAAACATCCGAAGCACGTCTCACGACTGAGAGACAGGATTATCTCAGCTTCTCGACAAGATAACAGTTGCTCAGCTACTCAATAAATTCCCCAACATTCACGGAACCAGAATTTTCAATACCGTGTTATCAAGAGTCCTCTCGTCCAAATCCAATAAATCCAGCAATTTTTCGTAGGATTCATTTTAAAATTATCCTTCCATTTATGCCTAGGTCTTTCGAATGATATCTTCCCTTCAGACCTGCAAACTAATATTATGTATGAATTTCTCGTGTCCCACAGGCGTTCTATATGCCCTACCCATCTCACCTTTCTTGATTCGGTCATCCTAAGAATATCTGGTGAAGAGTACAAATTCTGCAGCGACTCATTAAGCAGTTTTATCCAGCCTCCTCTCACTGGATCCCTCCTTGGTTCTGTTATTCTTCTAAACATCGTGATCTCAAACGCCCTCAATCTGTGTGTTCTCAGAGACCAAGTTTCACCCATAAAAACATAAAAAGTGGATGACTCGTTGTCTATGTTTAGCTACAAAGCAAAATTCATATTGAAATAATATAAACAAAATAAAAATGAAACTACAGTCTCATAACGTAAGTCGACTTTTTAACTCTACTGTATCGAGTGCAATAATTATTTAAAGCGGAATGACAGATTTGTTCCCATAAGGATTATGTGTTCACCTGCTATTATAGAGGCGAAATATGTGCAACATTTTGTGCCTCCCATTTCCCCCTCCCCATCTGAGCTATATTAAAATCGCCCCCGGAGGAAAACTCCGTGTTGCCAAGACCACGGCCTTGCCCAACACAAGTTGGGAATCGAACCCGAGACCCCAGGATTACAAGGCCAGCGTTCTAACCCAATTATGATTTCTGTAGTATTTTGGTATATTATGGAAAAACAAACGTAATGAAACATCACCAAAATACTACAGAAATCATAATTGAGTTTTAAGTTCTTAGATATATTTTACACCTGATGATGGTTTTATAAAAACCGAAACATGTTGTGTAAATGTTCCGAAATGTAAATTCGATCAATCGATATGGAACATGAATGATATTTTATTATCTTAATTATAAGAAATTTTAAATAAAAATTATATTGTGATTAGACGGATTAAAACAAATAACTAATTGGTCTTTGTAATAGCGTTGATTTATTTTGGCATTTGAACTCTCGGCAAACCCGAGGTTCAAAATCATGAATAACCTACAGCCAAAAACAAAGGAGTATCCGAAGATGGTTATCCTCTGACTCACATCCGTGAAAACCTAAAATCCTACAAAGTAATATCCGTTTGTATGTTAAGTGTGAGACGGGAAAACAAATGTTTCTGCGAGAACATTATACGACATTAAACAAGTGAAGGCAAACGTGTTTGACAATGCGAAAAACTGTGCATATAGATGTGAGAACAAGCATTCGACGAAACCACTGTCTGACTGACGAGACAGAATAAAAATTTATGCTTTCGGTGACACTGTGGCAGGATATGACAATGATCTTTTTGCCAACACTGCAACTATAAATATTCCCGCGTAAATGGAGGACCACATCAAACCAGTCGAAAGACCGATGACAAACAAACAACATTGCTTTGAAATAAGCGCAGTTCAGCTTCGTAAAATGGTTAGAGCAGAAGGCTTCTTGTGTATCCTCTTATGGCTGACCTCGGTCTCTGCTTCAGGACCAGAGTCGCACTGCGTTTCCTCGAAACCGGCAGGATTCGAGTTCTCCTTGAAGAGTTCGCGGAATAACACTGGACACTGGACTGCTCAGGTCAGGAGACTAATTTTACACCCTGAAAACTTCTTCGAGTTCCCTGAATAACATTTCTATATACAAAGTTGTCAGATAATTTCTCAGTTTTACTTACAAAGAAACGTAAAAAAAAAAATCAAATTTATTATAAGCCTGTTCATGGTAAAAGAACCACGCAGAAGATTAACATGTCTAATTTCTCTAATAGCTCTGCTGTTCTTTGCATTTTATATAACAGTACACTAGTTTCCTGATTTCATCATGTACTGGGTACAATACGAACAGGCGTGGTTTCTATGGCAACCGCAACGTTCCACAGCACCTTGAACTAAACACGAGTCCGTTCCTGTGTCACCAACACGTTCCTGTTTTAGGTACAGCTTGAACATGGAGTACGGCACGAAGACAACGGTCCGTGGGAGGTGAGCATCGAACACATCACTTCCAAGTGTGAAGACAGCGAGACCGTCCGGATAGAAGCCACTGTTATAGGTAGGATCGTTGTCCAGAAGCTGATAATTACTTTTGATTTGATTTTAAACAAATTGTCTGTTATTTATGAAACTCAAAGGTCCATTACCGTGTCCACAAGCGTCCTCACTAGTCCTTATAAACCCAGTCCACGTCCTCTCACCATAATTCAGATCCGTTTTAATATTATCCTACCATTTAAGCATTTCTCTTCTAAGTGGTGTCTTGCTTTCAGGTTCAAAAAAGTACTAGTTTCTTAACTTTGGCATTTGTGCGACCGATTCTACATTGCCCTTGAATTTAGAGCATTAATGAGACATTTGATGAAAAGTACAATTTATGAAGATCGCCACTATATAATTTTCTCCAGTCTCCTGTTAAATCCACTCTCTTAGGTCCAAATATTCTTTCCAGTTCGCTGTTCTGAAACATTACTTTACCCACGCTGTAAAGAAGAGAGACCAAGTTTGCTTTGCTGGTTATTCCAGTACCGCCAGCCCGACCAGGGCCACCGCAACGATTACGTCAAGACTATCAGATAATTCCAGGACACGGTTACTATAAACTTCACACATCAGGAAAGACGTGGAATCAAGCTTTCTGGACGTGTCGCGATGAGGGAACTCATCTCGTCGTACTGAACTCGGTTGAAGAAGTTTCTGTCGTAAAATCCATATGGGAGAAAACTCATAATTTCAGTAACATCGAGTATAAAGAATTCATCTTCCTTGGATTACGGAGAGGAACAGATGGCTCTTTCATCACGTATACCGGTAAGAAATCTGTCTGAAAAATGATTTTTTTTTAAAAAAAAACCCAAAAAACCTATTGGATTATTATTAATTTGTTTTATCGTTATGTAAATGTAGCTACAAGACTAAATTTTCAGGTCACACAAACCGGATTTCCGCTTTCTGAACCTTGAGTACCAGTCCATACGATGATTCAACTACAGAAAAAAAACATTACAGACACTAAATAGGAGATTTTTATGAAACTAAATTTTGAAAGATTTTAGACCCTTGTCATCATCGATACCAACATAGCGGTCTTCCGACATCTTGCCGCGGAAGCAACATGCCATGCACATAATTTTTTTTCTGAAACATTCATGGCATCTCTGAAAACAATGTTTTTTAGAAACTTGAAGGGAAGATACCGCTCGGAAAACCTAGGCGTACATGGAAAGAAAATATCAAAATGGATATTAAAGATGGAGTTTGAGTAGGTTCATTAGGCTCAAGACAGGTTCCAGAGGTAAGCTCTACTGAACACAATACTGAAAAGTCGAGTTCAATAGAGGGCGGTATATTGACTAGCTGATGTACTATTAGCTTCTCTAAAAGGACTATGTTTCGTGGAATTGTTTACATTTTCTGATAGTGTAAAATAACATAAGACTAAAATCGATTTATTTTTATATACGAAATTAATCGATCATTGTTAAGATGTTCTGATAAGAATCCATGCTTACGATACAACGGTCTTTAACCCTTTGAAGCCGAAGATCGTCTGAATATTATTTATGAATTCAGTCCGTACCGCGAAGAAAACACTACACCTCACCATTACGAAAATCAGCTGGTTAACCCTTTGAAGCCGAAGCTCGTCTTCATAATATTTACGAATCCAGACCGTACCGCGAAGAAAACACTTCACTTAACCATTAGAAGTCGAATCAGGCGGTACCACATAAGATTTAACAAGAGAACATCCCGGTCAAAGCCTTAATAACATCTACAATGTCCAATTTCTCGAAACCTTAAAAAAAGCTGACATCCGCGTTAACTTTTTTAACACCTCTTTCTTATACGTACGTTTCTCCGTATTTAATTAAGGTAATATAAGACATAACTGAGAAATTCACTGTACTAGGTGTTCCTCTCAACGAAACTGGTTACCAAGTCTGGGCCAAGAATGAACCTAACAACGCCGGTGGTGACGAGAGCTGTTTGTCGATGACAGACACCGGAGGCCTCAACGATGCGTATTGTGAACGGAAACTGGCTTTCATGTGTGAACGAGAACTGTGATATTAAGCTCCATCGTATTAAAATGCCTGGTATAAAAAAATATATATATTGGAATGTGATTAATTTGTACATTTATTGCATAAATTCAATAAACTGGTGAATAAGCAGTGACCAATATCTGTCCGATCCATCTCTTGAACAAATTAACTGAAGTAGCCTTTGATCTTCTGGGTTGTGATGTAATCTCATACAGTAAACGTGCGGGGGTCAACAGCACAAAGAGTCAAAAGGCAAATGCTTGTTCTACCCGAGATGCAGTTCCTACATTCTCAACAGTATATTCAATAGCTTATGCCCTGAAGATGGAAGCAATAAGTACCTACGAAACTTTGGTAACCACCTAGATGATGACACAACACTACAACCCACAAGACCAAGTTACACATTTTCACAGCCGTGGAAAATTCAAATATCAACTTTCCAGTCGGATCACTTCAACGTCACATACGTTAATATACACAACGGTAAATGTATATTTCTACGTAGTCAGTAACTTTGAATTATGGGCAAACGCCTTTATTAAAATTTCGCAAGGAACATGCATAATGTAAATATCAATAATATAAATAATGATTATCTGCTTTGTTGATATTAAAATAATCATCCGCTACGGATTTGACGTCGAAATTTCGTGCAGTTGTTCCGGAGTTGAGAAATACGAACAGACACGGCCTTCCTACTGTGCCCCCTTGCAAGTTCGTTGTACAAAAAGAAAACCAAACTCCGTGGAACAAAGTCATTTTTAAGATGCTGATAGTCGCTCAGCTTATCAATAAACGTCCCTCCTTGTGGAAGCAGAATGTTCAGTACCGTATTTGCAACAGCCTAACACTGATACAAATTCCTGAGCCACGTGAACCTTTTACACACCCAGCAACTCATGTCTTAAACCCACTTCAACGTTATCCTCCCATCGACGTGTACGTCTTGCAAATGGTCTCTTACCTTCAGCTTTTCCGACAAAAACGTCAGCTTCTTACAACTCCTTCGCATGCTACAGGTCCCGCCAATCCTACTAATCTCTGGTGAAGAGGGCGAATTTTGAAGCTGCTCACTATTTCTAAGCTCTCCGACTCAGTGTCAGACTGAAAAACGTCCTGGAGAAAATGTTGGGCAAATATGTGTTAAGTATTTTCTTGGTTTTCTCAGTGTTCACCCAGAGGGGCCTTCAGCAACTCTACAGAACCGGGAGAGGCCTCGAATACCTGTTTCTCGTGACTTCTCCCGTCCTTGGCCGTTCAGTGATCTGATAACAGTCTCAGCTGATGGTGCAAAATGAAACTGCTATACGCGATCGTGTGTTACACTGTTTTGTCAATTGTGGTCACCGGTTGTTTGTCAAAGTCACGATGTTCTTTAACAAGTTTTAGGTTTTCCTTAACCAGCTCCAGCAAACAGAACTGGACAATGGACATCACAGGTTAGAATCTGTTACTAACGGCAGTATCACGAGTGAGTTGTAACTCGTCTTTCGACCTCTCTGAAGTGAAACTCATTAAGATGCTTTCGATATTTTGCTTTCCGTTAACCCACAAGTGTTAAATTATAAAATTGTAGACATTTCAGATTTTCACGGCGGTAAGCATGAAGATACACTAGAAACGCGTCTCTGAATAAAACTAATCCGTACATAGCAGAACAAGCCCAAATGCTATCAATTTTAACAGCAACCTACCATCTTCGCCTAGGTCTTCCAAGTGCTTTTTTTCCCTTAAGATTTTGTTTGTTATGTAGCTCAGATCCTTCATGCGTGCTACACGCTCCGTCATCTCGTAATTATCCCGATTATAGGCTCTTTGGTGAAGAATATAAATTATGAATCTACTCGTGAAGTCTCCAGCATCTGTTCGTTTCTGTCAGGTAAACGATATTATTCTTCAGCATTCAACTGAGACGTGACTCACTGTAGGTTCACGCACAAGAGTAAATTACATGTGGGAACTCAGTTTCTCACGTCTGCGGGTATAGAACATCGTCATTTAGTCTCCTCGAGGATGACCGACGTTTCAGAGGTGCTTACTGCCTCCGTCATCTGGGCAATTAGCGACTTAGAATTTCCTGTATATCGTAAGACAATTTTTTTTATTACAGGTTCAATTGCAACGTCTGGAAGACGAGGCATCACCACCTTGGAACATCAAAGTGGACCACACAACTGAGCAATGCGACGGAATGGAGAACGTGGGACTAATCGCCACAGTCTCAGGTAGGCAAACACAGTCCAAAGACGGGCTTGCAGATGCCAGAACCAAGCTCATCTTTATCCCATTCCACACTTTGAACCACTGCGAGTGGACCAAACAGAATACGACACTGGTTTCACGTGTTAATCGACTACTCTAACGAAACGACATTTTGGTTATCGAAACCGAAGGTTAAAACACCGTCAATGACAGCGCCTGCCACTGGACACGATCTTGAGGCTGATCCATTCACCGCCAATTCTCACAACCCGCCTCCATTAAAATCCATCTTAATTTTATCCTCCCTTCTCCGACTTCCAAGAGGACGATTTTTAAATAATTTCCTCAGCCAGATTTGTAGACAAAAATTCTTTGCTTATATTCCCCCCTTATAGTCACATGATGAACCCGTAAAAGCCTTCCAGATTTCACTATCATAACCTCTACAAATTATAAAACTTCTCGCTGTGCATTGTCCAAAGTTACTTCATACTACCCGAGTCTTTAATATTTTCGCGATCACTTCTTTTTCTGACACTTATAATTAAATTCTTACCATCCAAGTAAGATAATATTTTCTGTACTCGCATAAAACAAGAGGAAGAATTGCTTAGTTACATACCGACAGCTTTAGCGCTTGTGAAAGGATTTCGGGTGTACGTATAACAACGCACATGCGCAATGTAGGCCTACTTAAAAATACGTTCCTATCCATCAAAAAGTTACGTGTACAGTAGATCAAATAGTTACCTATTTATTTATTTATTCTCTTAGTGTCCGGAATATAGTCAATATGAAATTATGACCTCTTGGGCAGTCAGTCATTTATATACAGCGATGCAATCCAGCGTTTCGGAGTCTGTCTCTGTCTCCATCATTACAGTTAATGTCAACCCTGATGACAGGTAATCGCTCAAGATTTCATTGCATTCAGCCGCCAAAATTATTCACAGTGTATCCCGAATTTCGTTGTGATAATTCAATTCCCATGCACCGTGACTGAATGTTTTATACCAAACATCGTTACAAACTACCACATCACAATTCAGCATAACAGTACGAGTACAGTATTTCAAAGAAAGTGTTTTTAAGATGGGAATATTAAAAGTCTTGAATAAAATTTTAGGTTTTCACGGCTGTCAGGATAACGATGCTGTTTATCTGGGTTGTGACTCAATGTGGATTCGCAGGTATATACCGACGTTTCGGAGAAACATGCAGTCTTCAGAGCTGAAGAACAAACAGTTAGAAATCTTGAAACGTAATCAAATGCAAAGTTTTAGAACAATATTATTTACCCATCTAAATTATTGCGTTGCGTGTATTATTATAATTATTATTATTATTATAATTGCTGTGATGAAATTAATTAAAATAACGTGGATAGGGCATGTAGCATACATGGTGAGACGGCAAATTTATACAAAATTTTGGCCGGAAAATCTGGTGGAGAGACGACTTGAGAGACCTGAGCGTATGCAGAAGGATAATATTAAAACGGATCTTAAGAAAATAAGGTATAAATGAGTGGAATGCATTAATCTCACTCCGAATAAGAACACGTGATGAGTTTCATAAACACAGATAATTTTTTAACTAGCTGAGCGAAAGGACTATAATATGACAAGATAATTACAGTATATCAACACTCTTAAGGGAACACAAAATAGTGTTCAAAGCTCCGAGCTATTTTTTTGTTTCAGTTCGAAGTGTTTTAAAAAGAGCTGTAGGTTGAAGAAACAGTGAGACGCCAACTTTTAAAAAGGAAATGTTTGCACTTTATCGTTTAAAACATTTGCTTCTATAAATCTACTCAGAATATTCGTTGTGTGTTACCAATTCTTTCCGGTATCTGTTATCTATTGCAGGAGACTGTGAAGCTGGGTTATTCGAAATTTGGCTGGCAACTTACTGCACTAATACAGGTAGGAACTGCAACTTTCCATGCACCACTCAAAACCAGTGGGCCTAGATACGTGTCGTCTTTGAGGTAGTGACGTCACACCTTGTAGCTTTATATGCAGTTACCAACAGTTTAAAAAAACCCTGCTACATCCATCTTCTGTGTCGTCTGGGGTGAAGAACGGTTACGAACCCAACTCATTTCCACACAGAAGAACAATGCAGCAGGCTCTTTCAAAATGTTGACAACTGATTACAGGGCAACAAGGCGTCACAAACAAGGAAACAATATGAAATCTCAGCCATGAAAACCTAAAACCACCTAGAAAATTAGTGCAATGCTCGCTGTAGCAGGTAGATGTTTGTATATTGTAAAATTGAAACATCAGAACATAATATAAAATACACTTAACTGTCGTATTAGGAATGGAAATTTTTTATTGAATTAAGTAAGAATGGAAATATAAGTACTGCAGACTCAATGCGCCATCTATAAAGGCGGATAAAAGTATTAACTTTACAACCCCTGACATATCTGAAGTACGTTTAACGTTTAATAGTACATGAAGGCCATTCGGAATTTCAGAAGTTGTACTTTTGAAAAAGATTTTATTAGGATTATCGACTGAAGGAGGGTGGAATAGACGAAGCTGTTATCAAGCATGGAGAAACAAAAAATGCGTACAGAACATGTGTTATAAAGCCTAAAGGGACGAGATCAGATGATACGATAATAAAATTTTATGTTAAGGAAATATGTCGCGAACGTCGTCATTCTAGTTTAGGATAATTACAAATGACGGTCTTTTCTGAATAAAACAATGAACCCTACGGTTACATAAAAGGCGTAGAATTTACTGCCTATCCGAGCCGCTATCAGCAATTCAAGAAATATTTATTCCAGGGGGTTAGAAATTTTAGTGTATCTGTTGAAGTCAAATATCAGCTACTTGGCGTAATAAGGTCTCTCTACTTCTGCTCGCAGTGCGGCCAAATCAAGATTACGAGCTGGTGAGTGGTGTAGGCTTCTACAAGATGCACACAGAAGCTGTTTCATGGGACGAAGTAAGAAAGGCCTGCATCGACGAGGGAAGTCATCTCGTCATTTTGAATTCTCTTACAGAAGTTGAAGTAGTAAAATCAATCTGGTCTAAGCACCCCATAATCTCCGGGAGTCAATGGCCCGAGTATATTTATATTGGGGCCCACGATCTGCTCTAAGAAGGAAAGTATGTCACTGTATTAGGTAAGGAACAACGTCACAAGTCCATAGTCGAATGCTTCCTAATTGACAGGCCCCGGGTTTGAAACTCGGCCCGGAGGCCGTCTAGCCTGAAAGGCGATTCGGGCTTCTTACTCAATGCAAATGTTGGAATATTTTAAACGAGGTAAAATTTG